AAACTGAAACGGTGAATTGCTGAAGCAGAACATCACTTCATTTTCTTCTTTAGTAAGACCCTTTGAAAGGTTAGGTCACTCCACCCTGCAGCCAGTAGAAACATCATCGATAACACTTGATTACTTAAATGAGTTCGATGCTTAGTAACCACTCACTTGTAAGTTCACGTTCTCCAGTAATTAGCAAGTTACGTTTTATTTCATGAACCAGCAATCGTCATACTTGTTTTTACCGCTGCCTCCGGAACAAACGAAGTTGATTAGTAACGAAAATCAGTAAAGACACTTCATCGAAACTCAAAAATTACTGCAATAGTCAGCGAATGTTGTTCAACATGTCAGAGTCAACCAAGACCCGACGAAATGCTATTATGAACTTTTCTCACACACCTGATTTTGCTTGAGAGCTTAACAAAAAGTCCATTTGATTTGACCTGATGATCATAAACGGAAAAAAATTTGTCGTAAATTTCGTGCGTACGCCAAATTGTTCGTGAACTGAATCATTCATAAATCGAGCTTCCATTCCATAATCGTTTCATAATTTCAAATCTAATTGAATAACAGGATCAAAGGTAAATATAACTGGTATAGAGATTTGGTCTAAATCCCTAAGAATGTTAGACAAAAACAACTGGATTTATCAATGTCATTGTCAATGGATGAGTGTGCGTTGCGATGTCATTAACATAAAAACTGCAAACGTCTGATATATCACCGTCATAGGTTCAAAATAGCTTTGCGGATTGTGAGGAAATTCTGTTTTCACCACTTCACGTGGGAATCGCTGTCCTACTTTTATTGAAGAATTAATGCCAATGCATATCTTATTTTGTTTCATATAACGAATTTCATTTGCTTCATTCTTCCCAACTGTTATCTCACACAATTCACTCTAAAATTCAATCGTCGACATGCTTACACTCATACAATCCATTTAATTAATTAAAATCCAGTTAACTTTGAATCCTCCCTTGCAACACTCATAAGAAACAGCACAATCTTAGATTTTCTCAGATGAACTAATGAAGTTAAGTAAAACGCTTAAATAAAGAAACACATATATAAATTAACTAAATAAAAATAAATGATGTACGGGACAAAAAAGGTTAGGAATTAATTTTATTATAACTGAACAACGACGAACAGACAAACAAGCAAATACAGTGAGAGATACCCTATGATAATAATTCTGATAACACCGGCATTAATTGTGATGAGAAGAGAGCACGAAGTGTTTAGGAAAGAATGATTGGAATGAAGGATGCTTGTGATGGTTATATCACTTATTTAGGAGCAAGCATATTCTCGGGTCGTACCCACTGTTCGAATTGTTCTTTAGTGAGGATACCCAACTTGACTGCTTCTTCCTTCAATGTTGTTCCATTTTTGTGCGCTGTTTTCGCGATCTTCGCTGCATTATCGTAACCAATGTGTGGATTCAACGCTGTTACCAGCATCAACGATTCTCGGAGGATCTTCGCGATATTGTCCTGAAATGAAACAACATCAGCCATCAAAAGTCAAATTTTCTGAAAGGCTCAATAAGGTGCTTTTAATTTGACAGTTTGCGTTCACTGCGCCCAAAATAGAATTTTGTGTATCGATCACCTCAAGAATTCTAACC